AAAAATATAACGAATCATAAATGTATTGCATTTGAATTTATCAATGTTGAATTATAATTATCATAATTAGGATTAATTATCATTCAAATTCTTTTTCTATTATATGTAGAATACTATCACTATGCATAGAATTGTATTTGTGCTTATTGTTTATACATAATGTATGCTAACAAAAAGCGCTAGATTAATAATGTAAGCTAACAAAAGCGCCAATCAATGCAAACATTGAAACAAATCTGTCAAAGATATATGTCAATATCTTTTATCATAACAGTGTAACATTCTTTTATGTTATTCCTCAAATTGGTGTCTTTAAAAAATTTTATTTTATTTGTGACATTAATTTGTGATCATGTGACAGCTAATTTTGTCTCTTCGATGCTAATTGATTCAATTATCCAAATTTGAGATGGTAATAAGGAGAAATTTGCAACTCTTTGTCACATTGCATAAGGTACAAGAATGCATGAATTTTCCAATTTAATGATTTTTTTTTTTTTTTAAATCAAATTATCGCATTTTTGTTAAACAAATGGAATTATCAACAAGTTTGAAAAATAACTGTTATAGGTTTTTCATGAAATCGGAAATACAATCCGGAATCGTATAAAGCAATGCATATCAATTCGACTTTCTGGATTGAAAAGTAAATTATCAAATGTTTGCTAAAGCTAGATCAGAATTACGATATTGAAGCGAATGAAATTCTTTAAAACTATGATAGCTATTACTTTATTGGTTTGTTGGATTTAATTAAATTAATTCTAATTAATCGTGAAAACAATGATTATATACAACGTTGAAAATCAATATTGAAATTCATTGAAAATTGAAAAAAAATTGAAATTAATACTTAACTATGCTTAATTATTGTTATATTATGTGCACAAATCCTTCATCATATTGAATCAGTTTTTAACCTGGGATATTTCGGTACTGTAATATTTCCCACATCATGTTTCTTATACATGCAATTCATAGCTATTGAAATAAACAAATACCGGGATATCCTGAATTTTACAAGTAATGTTTTCTTCATTGATTGCACAGATTCCTATTGGAAATGATCGAATAATCATTACCTGAGAGAAAACTTTTCACTTATTTTAATCATTAATTAGACTACTGAATGATTAATGGTAAGACTTTTGGCTTAAAAAGTACGGCTTTGGAATTATTTCTTTCACATTATTAACAGTTTATTTCTTTCTCTCTCTCTCTCTCTCTCTCTCTCTCTCTTCTCCCCCTCCCTTTCTCATTTTATTTTTCCTAATCTTATATCAAATTTCATTGAATTTTTAGGTGTATAGTAATTTCATTCATATAATTAATTTGCATTTTAAATGTTCATTTATTGAAAATTATTATTTGTCATCCAAATATTTTGATAATCTATTTATGATAGTATTTATGATAACGTAATTCAATAATCTATTTTTAATAACGTAATTTAAGAAAAAATAATCTATTCTATCGGCGAAACAAAAAGATGGCGATGAAATTATATATAATGAGATTTCTCATTTATTAAAATTTAAATGCCAAAGATGATATCTGCAACATCTTGTTTAATAATCTTTGATTTATTAAGATCCAGAAGTCAAAGATTTTAAATTCCATTTTAGATGAATGCTGAAAAAGTTCTCCCATATCCATAATATCATCTTCAACACCGTATCTTTGCAATATTGAAGATACATGCACATTTACTTATGTTACCTTTGCTTTATCAAAGCTTGATATAATAATATATTGAAAAAAAATTATAACTAGTACAAAATTTTCTTATTAAATCTAATTTTAATCTTATTTCTTCATATATTTTTTGACTCATCATTTTCGTATAAAATATTTAAAATCAAATGACATCATATATCATGCATATTTGATTTCTTTTATATTTTAAAAATATATTATTCGATTCGATTGTTAATAATTGGATCATTTCATTCATCGAAGTTTAATGCAAGTGATGTGTACTTGTATGTATATTTACATGTTCATATTAAAGTAAACAAATTCATTTCAGATTTTACTCATCCAGTCTAAATTTAACAATTTTAAATTATCCAAGTTTTGCAGTGCTCTTTAATCTTCATTTTTCCTTTTCCTTTTACCCTATTTGTTGTAATACAGAGTAAAGAAAATAAATGAGAATAGAAGATTAATGTTTTTCAGATCTTTTGAAGGCATGAGTACCTCAAAAATCTTTGTAAGAGAGTTTACAAAATATCTCGGGAAGGAAATTTTACGCGCAAACATTTATTCATAATAAAAACGGGAGAAATAATTTATCCTTCAATTTCTCCCCCTGTTTCTCGACATTTTAATTCTTCATATTCAACAATTTTTTTTTTTTTTTTTTTTAATCAGTCAAAATAACTTATCACATTAAATAGCATGGGATAAAACCATTCAATGTTTGTTTTCTATCAATTATCATTTAAAAAGATAAGATTTTAAAAAAACTAGCTAATTATCAATTACAATGCAATCTTGAGAAAGAATTTCTGAGAAAAAATTTTTTCATCTTGTGAATGTTATACTAATGTAACATTTAATTAATACTTACAAATATTATTCATATAATGCTAACTCTATTTGTATTGGTCGAAGAATATAATTTCATCATTGCAAATAATGAAATTATACTCTTTGATTAATACAACAACAATCATCATTTGCTACTCTTACAAATTATATCATTCGAAATTTCCTTCAATAACAATCATTTGCTACTCTTGCAAATGATATCATTCAAATTTCCTACAACAACAATTATTCGCTGCTTTTATACAAATTATATCGTTCGAAATTTCCTACAAAGGATAAAATTAAGAAATTCGAAATTGAAAAATAAAACCAAAATAAAGTGGGAGGGAAATTAAAAAAGGTTCAGAAAGGGTAAGAAACTGAAGAAAAGTTCAAGTAGATTTCAAAGCAATGATATTAAAATAATTGAACAATGCTGACACTGTAAATCAATCAAATCTATAATTATCCCATCCAAAATATCTAAAAAATATTAGAAGTTGGAAAGAAAAGTACATATGTTGAAAAAGTTTTTTGTTTCCTTTAGTTTTCTGTCACATAAAATTTGTATAACGAGTCATTTTTTCGCAAAGAATTAATTTTGCAGTTTTCATCAATTACCGGAATTCCGAATTACAAGGAAAAACAAAGCTTATCAATGCACTCAGATAATTACAAGCAGAGGAAATACCGGGAAAGAAGACGATAGTTAGGAAGAGAAGAAAGTAGAGAAGGAATTGTTATTATGGTTAAATGATTTGCTTCCACTTTTTTTTGCTCGTTTTTTATTCATAGTTTTGCACAAAATTAAGTACTCCCAATTCCAAATTGGAATAATTTCTACATTTTTTTTCTATTACACATATTCGGAACATCCTGAAATGGTTCGCTCTAGATATCAGATTAATCTAAACAAAAAAATCATTCATAGTTTTGCATAAAATTAGACATCCCAATTACAAATTGCAGTAATTAATATCTTTTCGTATTGTTTATATCCGGAAAGCCCCGAAATGATTCGTTCCGGATATCAGATTCATCGTAACCTTCGAACCCCAATCAATAATTCGTCGGATGCCGGATTACCCTTCCCTATCCCTTCAATCCCAAAAATCGTTAATGTCTCCAAATTATGCCTGTTATTTAAATGCCTATAACGCTGCACTAGACAAAATGAGTCCCACAACTAATGCATTTATTCATGTCAGGAACCCAAGTGCTTATCACAACTTGTCTTCGGCTATAGCATACACAGGCCAGGCAGTAGCTTCCATTGGAGCGCGTTGCGGTCTTCTCTCTCTCTCTCTTTCTCTCTCTCTCCCTCTCTCTCTCGCCTTCGTTCCCTTACTTCTTCCATGTATGTATGTATCTGTTCGTTTCTACATGTATGCATGATATCTGTTTGTCTATCTGTGTGTTTACCTGTCTGTGTCAGTTTGATAGAATGAATGGTTGGATACAATTTGAGCCGTTCGGAAAAGAAAAGGTTCAAAGGCAATAATATACGAAACTTGTGTGGACTTGTCCAAATTTTTGATTTTTATTCCCCTACTCTCTATCTTTCTCCCTCTTTCTCTTCTCTCTCACCCTTTCAATTTTCTCCACTATCAACTTTTCATCTCTGCAAATAATTCTCATGCATAATTTGTACTATTCTCCGTAATGCCTTTTCATTGTTTTCTTCTTACATTCTTTTTTTCTATCTTCCTGCTTGTTATTCCTTTTTCCTTGTGTTTTCTTCTCTTGCACACTTCTTTTTGTTTACACTTCTTTTTCTTTACATCTCTTCCGCTCTGTTTCATTCGTTCTGTTCAATTCAACCACAGTTCAATCGAAAGTTTCAAACCGTGAATGGCAGAGGAATTCGCGTTGCGTGCAACATTTCTTGCACTCTCATTCATTCATCTTTCATCTCCTCTTCCTCTTTCTCTCTCTCTCTCTCGCCTACTACAAGTGCTAATGTACTTGCTTGCATTCCCTCCAAAAGCTCTTCCTCTTCCTTTCTCTCTCTCCCTTTTCGTTTACTTTTGCTCATTCTAATACTCCTCTTCTTCGCTTATTTCTCTTCTTCTTTCTCTTTTTTCTTTCCTTTTTATCCTACATATCTTTTTTTCCTCTATTGCAACGCGCATGCGTCGCTATGATATCAACGGAATCCTCCCTTCTTCCTCTTTTTCCTTTCATCTCTCGAACGCTCCCTATTTTGTATCATCTTTTGTCATCCTTTTATTATTGTAATATACTCTTTACGATACTTTCATCTCCCTCTTCCTCCAATGTTCCGTTTGTCTCTTCATCTATTACAAATATTACGCCTCCAATGCAAATAGCATTGTCTGTACATGCATACACACATACATACATACACATACATGCATGCATGCAAATGTGTGCGTGCGTGTGTGTGTGTATGTATGCATGTGTATGTGTACGTATTTGCGTGTGGACAGCTGACCAGTGTTGTTTTATGCGGCATTCATCTTTTTTCCAAATCAACTAACTCCTTGATGCGCGTGCGTTTTTTCCCATCCTTTGCAATCATATGCTGCGCGATAGAAACGCAAATGCAAATGCAAAACATGCATGCATCCCAACTTATCAATCTTTTTTTTTTCTGTCGCTTTTGTTGTACCATAAGATGTACTTGCTTAAAGCATAATTTGCTGTCTTGATATGAACTTATATTCTTACTTTTTTTAAACCATGTTTATGATAAGAATGTATGATATGCAAGTCATTTTGTTTTACAATTTATCACCTTATCACTTACATGTTATGATTATGTTTCAAAAAATGATTACTTATAATGTGAAATCTTTTGCAATCTTTTTCGTGGAGTTTATTTTTGTTTTTATTACATTAATGAGGTAATTGTTAGGATTTTTCGGACGGAGAATATATATGTTCTTATTCATATAATTAAATATACCATGGAGATTGTTAGCTATGGTGGAAATTCATAAAATTCTGAAACTTATCATATAATTCTGAAATCAAACAATGTATGTGGGAAAGATTCGATTATTTGCCGGAAGGTTATTTGCTTGATAGCTAAATAAGATTACCATGTTGGAGTTGGTTGTATTTTGCAATGGAAATAAAACCTCAATATGACTGACACAAATAAGGGAAATTTACTGACTATGCTTGTTTATGATTGGTTGTTGAATAATGCATGCTCCTATACTATTGATAATTTTTAGTTGTGTAGGTGAAGTTTTTTTCTTTTTTTATTCGATGATTCGAATTATATATACCTGGAACATAAGGCAATGCTTTTGAAAGTTAACGAACTTGAAAAGTTCGGCAGTTAATCAGAAGAACGTTGTTCTTTTAAAAGGATGATGATTAACGCTATAACGTATTTTTGGGGTAGACATTGTTATACTTGTGCTACCCATGAATATTCGATACTTATTAGGAAGTGAAGAAGTTCAAGATGATGATCGGGAGTATGGATGAAAAATCTCGAAATGTGAAAGGAAGTTTTTCCGGATAATTCTGGGATGATGCATGAATAATCTCGGGATAAAGATTAGGAGGGTGGAAGAATACCAGGAAGAACTCTGAGATTAGTAATTCTGAAAGAGAAATCGAAAAATTTTCTAATTACACTAAAGATTATTTGGTTAGGAAATGTTTCGAGTTTATTAATGAAGGGGTATTACTAAAAAGTTTTGTTACTTTAAGCCTTGTTATGCGGTGAACGTTTGAATACTTGCAAGATACAAAGGAGTTAACCCATGTATCGTTTTTCAGATTGTACTAGTTACTCAAAGGACGCAAACTCTTATCAGCAGAAATTGGCTCTGTAATTGATCTGGCTGATCCAGTCACATTTGTGGACACATCGTATCGTATATATCAAATTTTGATGAAGAAACGATTAAAAAATAGTATTGCAAAACAGTTTTATCCACAGTGTTATCTTTATTAACCGTATCTATTCATTACTATTCGGCGTTTACGCATAAAATTGCAACAAGAAATTTACTGCTGAACAAAGGGTTATCTTGCTGGCGATAACCGTATAAGTTTATTAGCCCATTGAGGCTTAGCCTCAGATGAACTATCATTTTCTATCTTGAATTAGACTCAATTTGTTGTATCATTCAGTCAATCGAAGCTGGTAAAAATGACTGATGTTCTTGATGAACCATCGGCGAAAAAACCGAAGCTGTCATCACCGTCAGGTTAGTTATCATTGACCATTGAAGTTTTTACTCGACTTGAACTTTCAAAATTGCACTACAGCTGTTAATGAAAGCGTAAGATTCTAACCTAGAACAGAATATTTCTATAGTTCACTTTAGTAGTAAGCTGATAGTTTTTTAATTGGTTTTGGGTTGAGGCTGTAATAATGACACAATAGTAAGGATTATTCATTATTGGTTTCTGAATTAATTTCAGTCATTTTTTCATGATTTATATTTTCTCAGAAGGTAGACCAATATTTTTGGGAGTTGTTTTTTCAGTAATCGTTCTGAAATTTGTGTGAAATTACATTTCTGAAAGTTCTTATTTTCTAATGAGTTCTTTTTCCTAAACCAAAATACAGAACAAAATAAGTTGTATTTCGAAACAGTGATAGAACAGAGACGTATCATTTGTTTCATTACCTTGTATTTACTAATAACAGCAGAATGAATAATCTTTCCACCTTTTTTTTCTAGAAATCTTGAGAGAATGTCGTTCTTTAGCTTATGCTGTGTTAACGAATTCAGATTTAACACTTTTCAGTGTTATGAAATTTTTGTTACATATCATCAGTTATCTTACTGTTAAACCTTGTTATCAAATCTTGTTTTTGATTTTAGTCACTTTGAATTTTGTAAACTATTTCAAGCTGAGTGTTACAGATTTTGATGATGATCCGTTGAGTGAACTAGAGAAATTGGAGCCGTTGCCGTCGATTCTGGAGACGATGTCTCAAACACCATCCAGTGTTCATATGTCGGTATGGTGTTTTTTCATATCCTTCGTATTTTGCGATGCTAAATTTAAATTTCAAAGACCTCTTTGGATGTTCATAATTTGATTTGTCATTTCATCGAATTGTATTAGTTTGATTCTTTTTCGGAAATATCTCGCAATGTCTAAAATTATGAAGTTACCCAATACGATTTCATCAATGGAAAATTTGTAATTAGCTGCATCACGAAATCTCAGTATCTTGAAGTTTGACCAAAATCTGAGTAGGTGACTCTGCATCTTCTGGTACTTTCGAGAGTGGGCATCTTCTAGTCCATCTGGAGTGTATGAAATCCCCCCGTCTGTTGCCATAAAATAATTTTCGGTTTCAGTCTGTTGCTTGATAAGTTAACGATATTTGCAGCGAAAACTTAGTTGGTAATATGTGTGGTAAAAATTATTAGGTTATTGCGAACAGCATTAATCTACTTGTGGTAGAAGAATAGAATAAAAAACACGGAAGATATCATTTATGAATGATATCTTCCGTTTTTTTTTTTGTTTAAACTGTTGTACTAATAAAAGATTGAAACTTTCCCATGCAATCACTGAAGTCATTTTCAGGCGAATAATGGGCCCGGACCATCATCAGTTGGCTCCACTGGCGCTACAAGTCAACCACCCTCAGTTAGTCATGGGAATTATATGGGACCAGCGTCAGTGATACAGTCTCAAGCCGGTGCACCACCACAAACACATGCCCAGTCACAGCAAAATGCTCCATCACAACCCAGTGTTTTGCAAGAGTTGTTATTAAATCCTTCCAACCAAAATAATCAAACGTTAAATAGTCCACGACCACCTTACACTACTCAGTATCAGACAAGGTTGATTTTTCTATGTGAAATTGCAATATAAATTTTCCTGACAAATGCTGCAAAATAACATTTATTTAATGTTCACTCTAAATTCTTCCGCAGAATTAATTTAAGTTTGATTTCATGCAATAAAAGGGAGTACATTTTAGGAGTCCAGTGACAAGTGGTGCCACGATGATGGCATCAGCAAATTGTCCTCCAAATGTAGCTCTGTCTGCTGGACCACGAGGATTACGAGCTACTGGACCTCAAATGTACGGACCCGCAAGTCACACCGACATGACTATGCAACCGGTATAATTAGCAAATTCATGATTACGTAAATTAAAAACTTTATTAGTTTCTGGTTATTGGTGAAGTGGAATGCAATATTCCATAAAAGCTTTTGCTTGATAGAAAGCTATTGAATATGAAAAGTAGGTTGGGGATACTGTAGCTTCAGTGTTATGTCGTACTTCTTCCGATGCTGAATGCTCTAATGCTCATGTTAAAAATTATAGATTTGTTCCTAACTTTAATCACTTTTCGAAACTTGAATGCTTTTAGGGTGGTGGTCCTCAGCTAGGGCATCCAACTCAGCAAGGCAACTACGTTGCCTCACAAATGATGCCACCGCCTAATCAACAATCTCCACAATCTCTTTCATATGCGTATCAGCAATCCGGTTCGTTCATTTTATAGTTCATATTTCTGCATTAATAGAATATTATTAGTGCAATGGGATATTCAAACTATGCAAAAACGTTGTCAAACGTTTTCTCCTAAGATCTTGAGGAAGATTGCAGTGGTGCGATTGAAATTTATAAAAAATGCGAAAATTTACTTACAGGTTCTCGACCAGTGTATGCAAATACAGGTTCTCGGGCGGTTTATGCGGCTGCTACACGTAGTGCAGCACCACAATCTATGAGTTTAGCACGGGGTAATGCACCCGTAATGCTTAATGGAGCTTCAGCTCCCCGAATCAGAGCTGCTCATCAAGGTTTTCATCGATCATTTTGTTAAAACCATGGGTGTACTTGAAAAAAGCATCAGGGCGGAAAATGTTTCTTTTCATTAAATATGTAACCCATCTGTTGGATTATTAAATTTGTGGAATACCAAAATATATTGCCTCTGATTTATAGGCATGATAACAATGCAGCAGGGAGGTGGACAAATGATGCGAACAGTTATGGTCCAACAAGGTCCACCATATGATCAAGGTGGTTATGCTATACCACCTCAACGCGCATCCGATCCTTATGGTATTTCGCAGACGCAAACGGGAGTTAGTAATTTATGTGATTTTCTGTCTGCAAAGTAATCACTGGGTAAGGTAGAATTCAGAAACTTACGGTCTTTAGCTAGAACCGTAAAGCTCTGATTATCTTGTGTCTCCTTGCAGTAATGCTTTTGTCTCTTCACATAATCAGTTTAAGGCATCCCCAAATTATGCACAGTTGCCACAAAGCCATATGGTAGCTAGAAATCAACCAATGCCTTACACTAATACACCAACTGCGCCACCGATTCAACAGAATAGTACGGTAAGTTCGAAAAATAAAAACTTAACTAATTTCTCCAAAACCTTGCATAGGTTTCTCACGCTCTGAATTTCATTCAAGTATTCTTTAGAAAACCTACATCACTGTAATCACTTCACCTCACACCATTAATTATTTAATTGATTAGCGGCAGTACTTGTTAATTGATACCATGAATAAGAAGCTTCAAAAAATTTTTTAAAAACCTCATGTCGGTTTTTGTTATCCTCAGATGATACCGCATATGATGGAGCATTCGACAATATCGCCACAACAGCAACAACAACAACCACCACCACCGCCGTCATCATCATTAACTCATGGAAATGTAATGCCACCACAAATGAGTACGCCAACAGCGACGGTAGCAGGAGCTCCCGGTCCGAAATCTGGAATACCGCCAAATTTGCCGCCTCCTCAGATGTCAGCAGCAAATGCTTCAGCCACTGGCCAAATGCAACAAGTAATATTTGTTTTTGTACATTTTTAATTTTCGTAAAATTCACCAATGAGAAAATTTTTACAAGCATCAAGAAATTAACAGAAGCTAAGAAAATGTATGGTCCAGAATTTACATGTCGATAAAAAAACATCTAACAGCATTTTCCACAGATCTAACAGCATTTTCCACAG